CCCCCCAAGTCACCTGACTAGGCCGGAAAAAACAAAGACACACTACTTAGCACCTCCCCTGGAAATTTAAACCATTTGCTGTATAGCCCACAATTCAGGACAAAGGTTGCTGTTGACATGTGCAGCCCCCCTCCCCACCAGTGGCCCCCAGGGGGTGGTGTTACCCACTTTGGAAGCACTAAGCCAGCTCACTTCAGTGCCTGCAGGATCCCAGGGATGTGGGATGTGAGGCCGGAGTTGTGGGTGACTGTTGGGAGCCTTGGCCTGGGGGTGGAGAAATGGAAGCAGCCCTCTTCCTTCCTGGCAGGGGCCGCTCGGAATTGTCCATGGGAGGCTTCCTGGGAGGTCATGATGTGGCCCCCCTGGAACACGACCTCGGCCCCTCTCCTTGCAGGGTGGCGCACCCACCCCCTTTGACCGTAACTATGGCACCAAGCTGGGGATGAAGGCTATGCTGTGGATGTCAGAGAAGCTGCAGATGGTCTACCGCAAGGGTGCGTGTGTGGGGCGGGGCCAGTGACCAAGACCCCCCACCTACCCGGTGCTGGGCCTGGCTGCTCACATCGGCCTGTGTCCGCAGGGCGGGTGTTTGCCAATACCCCTGACTCGGCCTGTGTGATTGGCCTGAAGAAGAAGGCAGTGGCCTTCAGCCCTGTCACTGAGCTCAAGAAGGACACGGATTTTGAGTAAGCCCCACCCAGGCTCTGTCCCCAGCCCCAGGCTCTAGCCTGGAACCCAACCTTAGCTCTCCCTGCAGACCCTGGCCACTCGTAGCCTTTGAAGGGCATATGGGGGTGGGGGTGTGCCAGAAGGGAGGCCTGGGATGGGTGTGGCTACCCTCCCTCCTCACCCGTCCCGTGCTCTGCCTGCAGGGGGAGGAGCTTGTGCTGAGGGGTGGGGTGTGCAGGGAGTAGTGGGCGGGTCTGAGGGGCGAGGCGGCGTGGGCGTAGGCAAGACATCTGCGGGGAGCCCCGCCCTGAGCCGCAGCCTGCCCGCAGGCACCGCATGCCACGGGAGCAGTGGTGGCTGAACCTTCGGCTCATGCTGAAGATGCTGGCACACTACCGTATCAGCATGGCTGACTATGTGTCTGGGGAGCTGGAGCACGTCACCCGCAGCACCCTGAGCATCGAGACCGGTTTCTGAGTTGTGCCGGATCCCCCTCCTCGACCCTGCCTATTCCGCTCCGAGTATGCAGTGCCAAGCCTGGAGGTGGAGGGGCCTGGAGGCTGGGGTCCAGCTGGCGGGGGTTGGTAGGTGCCTGCTTCTGCCCTGCTGCGGCCAGCCTTCCTTGGCAGGCAGGTCTGAGACCAGCCCTGGCCTCCCTTCCTTACTGTGCATGGACCAAACCCCTCGGCCCCGCCCTCCCGCCCGGGTCTGCTCACAAGCTTGACATAAACCCGCCACCTCTGAGAGGGACTGTTAACTTGTGGACCTCAGTGTGACCCTGCTACAGCCACTCGGGCTGACCAGCCCTTGCCACCTTTTCTATAAATAAAATCGTCTCCACTATGGATGGTCTGGTTATTAGACCCTTCTAGGGCAAGCAGGTGAAACTGCATGTGGCCGCCCTGGTGGACAGTAGCATTCTCCCCACCCCACCCTCTAGCCCTGCCTTTGCCCACTTGGGGCAGTAGGCCCTCCCTTTGTCCCACCAGGGTCTCCAATGACCAGTAGCCGTGTCTGAGGTCTTTGGGGGTGACCTCAGTTCCTCCAGTGCTTGCCTTCGTCTGGGGGGTATGGCCTGAGGGGCAGAGGGGCTTCAGCCTCCTAGTCCCCTGGCACTGCCCTGTCTTAGGAGTTTCTGAGCCTGGCCCCAGTCTCAGCAGCAGACCACACACAAGGCCCCTGGGCTCTTAAACCGCAACCATGACATTGGGGGCACGGGTGACGGGTCAGCTGGTCAGCTGAAACCCGGGTCCCTTTTGTGGAAAGTTTTGGACAGCAGTGGCACATGTCCAGTCCGAGGTATGGCTCAGGGTCAGCCATACCCTCAGGACTGGGTTGGGACTACGAAGTCCCTGTCTGCTGACTTGGGGTCTGAGTGTGGGGGACCTGGTTCATGGGCAAGCTGAAGTTCCACCTGCAGAGCGGGGACTTGCAGAAGTCCGAGGCTGTCCCGGCCCCGAGGCCCTGCAGGTTTCTCAGAGGCAGCCCTGGTTGAGTCCCAGGGACTGAGGGCCCCAGGAATGAGTGAACATGCCATTGCAAACCTGGGCAGGTGTGGTGACCAGGCACTGTCCCCAACAGAGGAACCCACCTTCCTCTCCCAGCAGCCCTCTGCCGCAGCTCCCGGGGCCTTGAGTTCAGCAGCATGGAGCTGTGAACTTGACCCTCCCTGCTCTTGGCCCCTGTGGCTGAGTGGAGGAGTGGAGGGCTGTCCTCTGTGGTTCCCTTTCCTGTGACAAGCTGTTCTGGTGATGTCTGACCAGCCCAGTGACCAGGGGCCAGCACTTCCTGAGGCAGTGGGCCAAGTTTATGGCTGTGTGGATGGCAATCTGGAGGTTGGGCACCCAGAGGGGAGCAAAGCAGAGCCCCCGTGTGCTGAGTTTCTGAGGATGGAGGGCAAGGTGGTGGGTGGCTTCCTGCCCAAGGGATTGAACTCTCATGGTTGGCATGGATGGCAGTCACTTGCTCCCCTTATCTTCATAAGCTGCTGAGGTGGGACTGCTCCCTAATGTCCAGCTGCAGGGGGAAGGGAGCCGTCTTAACCAAGGTTGCTCTGCCTGCCCGGTGAGGCTGGGCCCAGCTTTACCCTGAGGACCAGGAGGAAGAAATGAGGGTGTGAGTAAGGCCCAGGTAGACCCCAGGTCCCACCAGCATGGAGGCTCAGTAGGGGTACACTAGACCCCTAAGGAGGGTGAGTGGGGCTGAAAGAGGAGTCAGGACCAGCCCATCCTGCGAAGGCTGAAGGAGACTTCCCTGGAGAAAGATGGTAGTCCTCTAACAGCTTCTTAGCACCCAGTTGAACCAGCCACCCCATCCTCCCCTTGCCCAGCACCCCGCCAGTTCCAGGTGTCTGCAGCCGCCCCTGTCCTCTTTGCCCTGTGACCTCACCCTGGAGGCCCGAGGGCAACCACAGTGAGTGTTCAAGCCGTAGAAACTGGCAAATGCCCCACTTGAGCCCCCTTCCTCCCAGAAGGCTGTTAAAACTGCCCAGCACCCGCTTACAGGGAGGTGGGATAGAGGAGACCCCACTTCATCCTCAAACCCAGCTGAGGGTGCCAATGGGGCCTCGAGCAGGTGGGGTGGGGTGTGGAGAAGTTGAGGGGAGGAGGTGACGGCTGGCGGGGCTGAGATCTGATGGGCCCAAACGGCAGCCCCACAAGTTGTGCTTGAATGAGAGGGGCAGGAGTCAGTAGAGAAGGCTGTGTGCTGCCCCCCTTGGGTCGTAGCTGGCAGTGCAGGCAGGGTGAGTTGGGTAGGAAAGATCTTTCTGTACTGTCACACCACCAACTTTCTCTGGTCAAATGTTTGATGGAGAGCACCCATCAGTCATGAGAAGACCCAGACGCAGGCCTGTGACAGCCTGCCTCCATGCCCAAAGAAAGCCACTCGCCTCCTTCACACAGCTGGGGACCAAGCCAGGGTCACTGCAGGTGCACAGGCAGTGCACACAGAGACACTGCCAGGTGGCTCACTGGCATCACCTCCCCATGAGGCCTGGGCCTTGCGCTGATCTGGTGTTCTGCCTCCCTCTGGCTGGCTGTCCTGTCCGTATAATCCGTGCCCTCCATTTGCCTGGCCCTGAGACGGCTGAGGGAGGGCTGGCACCCGGCCCAGCAGGAGGGAAGGGCAGAGGGCAGCCTGCTCTCTTCCCTGGCTGGGTAACTTGCCACCACGAGTTGGTCATTCTCGGTCATGGCTCAGACATGCTCACAACCTCACTTCCTAGGGAGTGCCCTGGGCTTTTTTCCTGGGCCCTGGACTCCGGCTGTGCTGCCCAGCTAGCTGCAGGGCATCAAGACCAGTTCTGCCTGCCCCTCTTCACCAGGAAACAGACCTTAGACCAGCGGTTCTCAACCTTCCTAATGCCGCGACCCTTTAATACAGGCCCTCATGTTGTGGTGACTCCAACCGTAAAATTATTTTGCTGCTACTTCATAACTAATTTTGCTACTGTGGTGAATCGGGCGGCCCCTGTGAAAGGTCTTTCGGCCCCCAAAGGGGTCATGACCCACAGGTTGAGAACTTCTGCCTTAGACGATGCCAGTCCCAGGAGCCCCTCCTCTCCCACAGCTGCATGGGGGGCTTCCACCTGGCTGAGCCAGCAGACACCCCACACGGCAGCAGAGGGAGGGCAAGGACTGACCGGGCTCCTCCTCCAGAAAGACATGTCCTTCCTTTCATGCAGGCAGGAGCGCGCAGCAGGCCCAGGCGGCCAGCGTGCTGGAAGACCCCCTTGGCCGACAAGTCAGAAGAAAAGTGGGCCGAATTTCCAGCAGCATCTGCCCCATGCTGCTAAGCCAGGTGACCCAGGCAGGGTCTGTATTTGGGCATGTCTACGTACAGATGGGGTTTTGGAAAAATACTTTATTGGGGAAATCGCCTTCAGATCCTTCCACTGTAGGATGTGCCCAGTCCAGCCGGGACCCTCACAGCCTCAGGGACCAGGCTCAGGCCTGGCAGTGGTTTGGCCAGGAAGGCACCAGGTTCTGCTGTCCTGGGCATGTCCCCACCGGCACAGCTGTCCCCAGGAGCAGTCAGTGCAGGAGACTTGGGTCCGCCCCATGATTGCACCCATCTCCTGCCAGAGAGGCTGTCCGGAGCCTTCCCGGGCAGGGAGCTGGGAGGCTGTGGTGAGGAGGTTCTCACAGACACAGTTCCAGTGCTGGCTCCCCGCCCGAAGTCACCTCTTAGTTTGGGGCAGGCAGAGGCTGGGCAGTAGCAGTGCTGGGGACACACTGGGACTTCCAGCAGGGAGGTGATGCTGTCACACAGTCCAGCAGGCTGGTGGGCTCACTCCACGTCCTCCTGCAGCTCCCCCCGCCGGTGCAGGGCCTGGAGGCGGCTGCCCACCGTCTGGCGGACCACCTCCAGGCCCTCAGCATCCAACTCCCGCAGCAGCAACAGGATGGCAGTCAGCACATTGTTCTGGGGACAGAAGTGCCACTGAGTGCCCGATGCGGGCCACTCCCTCTCTGGATTCAGCCATACACATGTCACAGGGAGCAGGGGACCTGGGGACTAGGGAGGAGGTGACTGGCCAATTGCAGATACACAGATACCATGGGGCCGTCACTTCCACAGGGTGCACACCTGCCGGCTGGAACACCACGTGTACACCTTCCGCAAGCCCCTCACAGCCGCCCACTTCCACAGACAAGGAGACTGGGGGCGGGGATGGGACAGCCAGATGCAGGGTAGCTCTGTGTGACACACACACACACACACACACGCTCTGACACACACACACACAGACGCGCATGCACGCTCTGTGTGCATTAGGTCTGTGTGCTGCGGACACATGTCCCCGGCATCTGCACATGCACTTCCTCGTTTGCTGGAGGCACCAGGGTGAATGCAGGTTTCACTCTCAGAGCCCTCCCCCCTTCCCCCCCCCCCACCAGGCCTGGGGCTCCGTGGGGCCTCAGGGATGGGGAGAAAGGAGACAGGCAGGGAAGGAGGGGGTTCTGGGCACCAAACTGCAGAGAAGCAGCCTTCCTGGAGACTGCATGCATGTTAGAAAACCGCCCTTTTAAGGCACTAGAGAGGCTCAACCCTGTCACCTCATGGAGAAGGGAGGTGACTGGAGGGAGGGGCTCTGGGCCCTGTGGCTGGGTGGGTGCTTCCACCATCCTCAAGGCAGCGCAGGCCACAGGCCGAGAGAGCACATGTCAGCCCAATGGCCGCCGCCTCTCTCTGCTGCCTACCTGGTGGGCACCTTCCAGAGCACGCTCTCCATGAGCTTAGAGCCAGGTAGGAGGCCCAGGTCCCACTTCCATCTTCAGGGCCTGGGCTTGGTGCAGATTCCTGGAGAGTCTCAACGCCTCCCCACCCACGGTACCGGTACCGCAGCCAGGGCGCAGCCGACTAGGGACTCACCCTGCTCTTGAGGCTGCTGGTGGCCTCTCGAGGTGGGCAGGAGGAAGACTGGCCCTGGGATGGCGGTCTCAGGCCCAGACGCTCCTGGACACAGCTGGGGAAGACACGCAGCATGGGCCTGAGTGGACTGGAGGGGACAGATCCCCATGCCCAGGAGCATAGTGCAGTGTCTCCTTTGGGTAGAGACACCCGCCTCCATTACCCCCATCCCACCCCAGCAAAAGAGGCATACAAGACAAAGCCAGACTGAGGTGGGACCAGGGCTCTAGGCTAGGAGGCACGATGGCAGAGACTGGCATTGCCAGGACTTCTCTTTGCTCTTCCCCCATGCAAGGGTAGCC